GGGGTCGCACTGCTGAAGGTGGCGAAGCTGAGGGTCAGCTGGATATGGCTCAAGCGAACTTGGGATGGGATGCCGGGAAGGAGCACGGCTGTCTCCTGGATCTCTGCGGTGTCCCTGAACCGAACGCTGCTCCCGAAGGGGGGGTTTGAGCGGGCGATGCTCTGCGAAGCACAGCAGTGACTGCTGTTGGGGCTGCAGAAGTCCTGGAGGCTTTTCAGGGCAAGTTGGACAAACGTGGTGCAGGATCAGTTCGTAAGGAGCTGTATCTGCCTTGGGCTGGGTGGGGGTTAGGGGGCTCTCTGGTTCTGGCCCTGAGCTCCTCCCTGGAGGGAGTGTGTGTGTGTTGTGCATAAGCGTGGCTGGGGTGTGTGCAGTGATGTCTCGGGGAGTATATCCTCAGCATGAGCATTAAAAATAGAAGACCTGGGAGTCTCCTAGTAGCTTTTCATCTTCTGGGGCCTTTTTGCATTTCCTTCAGTTTGGAGAGGTGCAAATAGGACCCCTTTTCACTCTGTGCTCGCGCAGTGGTGTGGCAATGCAATATTTAGGGTGGTGCATCAGCCGAAAGCACACCCTGATGGCTGGAGGGCGGAGATTTCGGCTCCAGCTGGGCCGTGTGCTGGTCCTCTGCGGCTGAGGGAATTTCAAACCTGGAGCAGCAAAACTTCTAAATCCCGGGCAGAGGTGAGGTAGGAAGGAAAGTGGTTGGATTTGATGATCTTAGAGGTCTTTTCCAACCTAAACGATTCTCTGATTCTATGAAAGCAGCTGCGGTCAGCAGCGCCGAGAGCTCTCTGCCCTCTTCAGCCCCTCTACCACTTTAATACCCACCAGCGTCCCTCGGTTATAAATCACCAATCTCTGCAGGTAATAAATGCCACTAAACCAGGAGCTCTCTAAAATGAGCCTGATGTATCCTGCGGGGTGAGGAATGGCCTCTCCTTGGAGGGAGCATTTGGGTGCTACAGCCCCTCTCCCACTGGAGCCCTGTCCCCCTCTCGGTGGGTGCCGTGGGGCTCTCCCTGCCCAGCCATGCTCCATCACAGTTTGGCAAAGACCCTGGGGGTGGGGGTGTGGGTGCTGTGCTGCTCCCTGAGCCCTTAAAGCGAGGGGTTCTGTCCTGCAAGGGTAAGGGCTGGGCACCGTGCCTGCCATCTCCTCTGATAGAAAAGCAATTACCATTCATTTTGATTTTAATGTCGCCATTTAAGGGGGGAAAAAAAAAGTTAATGCTTCCAATTTGTTTGGTATAATTAAGTGATAATTCCCTCTGCCTGGGAGGAGAACATGGCTGCAGCGCGTGGGGTTGTTTGGTCAGCACATTTTGGCAGCTCCCAGCTCCCACGGCACAGCGCCGGCATTGCTTCCCAGTGAGATTCAGGTGATGATGGAGAGGAAAAGGGTGTGGGTACGGTGTTTCAGGCTGACCTTGATTTTCTTGAAAGAGCATGAAAGAGAAGAATAGCAAATTACGTCTGTGCCAAGGCAGCTCAATTCAGGCTCAGCCTTGCATTGCTGTTGCGGAGGGTGCTGGCCCTGCCCTCTGGATCTGCTGGCCCTCTGGATCTGCTGGCTCCCGCTGCCTGGGACCACAGCTGGGCTGAATTTGCAGGTCTTTGCTTTGCCTGTTCTCATGAAGGCCCTGCCCGGCACTAAACAGAAATACTCAGCCAACTCCAAGCGCTTTGAATCACGCTTTGTGTGCTACTATGTTGAAAAAGAATTTTTAGGCAATTTTAGAAAACTATGCTCGAGCTTTGGATCGCCTTAATGACAGAAGCTGTCTGGCACCAGTCGTGAGGTTCTGCTTCTGTCAGGCATTTGAGTGATGCTGATTGTTTCTCATCCCAGGGCCGCGCTTTATAGTTGAAGAAATTGAGGCGCAGGGCAGGGAAATGACTTCTTGGAGGTCAGGATGCAAATCTGTCACCCTCCTGGAAATAGGAGCTGGCTCTGCTCTTTTAATTTACTGAATTTGTCGGTGGCAATGCACGAAAATTCACCTGGAAAGAAAATAAATTATTCATGAAAGCGATTGTCCAGAGCTGCTTAAGCTGCCAATGCAAAAATCCCTGGGCTGATCCAGCTGCGGGCGGTGATGTGCAGCAGATGACAAGGGATCGAAGGGAGGAGGGGGATCCAGTCCCTTGTTTGCTCCCTTTCTCCTCAGCTGCTGGGAAGATGCAAAGCATGGCTTGACCTGCTGCTGCTTTTTATTGTTGCTTTGTGTTCCCTTGTACCGCGGCCCCCGCCGTGCCGGGGATGTGCGCATGTGCCCGTGCCGGGTCCTGCTGCTGGAGGGTTACAGCCTGAGGAGTGTTTATGGGTTTGTTAACCACGTTCTTTGGGCAATAAATGATGTTTAGTGGACTACGGAAATTCGGTTGGGAGAATAAGTTAAAATAAACAGCCCTGCTTGGACTGATTGGTTTTCATGCCAGCTCAGGCTGGTACACGAAGTACATGAAAAAATTTCTTCACAGAAAGGGCTGTCAAGCACTGGAAGGGGCTGCCCAGGGCAGGGGTCGAGTCCCCATCCCTGGGGGGATTTAAAAGCCGGGCAGACGCGGTGCTTAGGGACAGGGTTTAGCGGTGGGATGGCAGGGGTAGGGGAATGGTTGGGCTTGGTGAGCTTTTCCAACCTAGGCTTTTCCAACCTAGACGATTCTATGATTTTGATGGGTCTCAGTCAAGTTGTCTGAGACCTGTTTCACTGACACTTTTCCATCACCCTCCTTTAATTCACACACTTAGAGGAGATGTAGGAACGAGCAGGATGGTGGAAACTGATGTCCCCTTCAGATGGGCCCTGCGGGCTACAGTCCCGATGAGGGGTTTGCGGGGATGCTGTGTGGTACCTGTCTGAGATAACAGCAAATGCCCTGGCTGTGGTCCGAGGGCCACCTCTGTCTCCCTGCTTACCTGATGAACACAACAGGCATGAATTTATAGGAGAAATATGTGGTGTCCCCAGCATGCTACATGCAAGATAAGCCTGGGGTAGAGTAGCAACAGTTCATGTGCCTCTGCCCTGCGTGCAGCCCGGTGCGCCCTGGCGTTCACAGAATCACGGAATCCCAGTATGGCAAGGGTTGGAAGGGACCTCGGGAGATCACCCAGTCCCACCCCCCTGCTCAAGCAGGTTCTCCCTAGGGCATGTTACGCAGAACTTAATCCAGGTGGGCTTTGAATATCTCCAGAGAAGGAGACTCCACAGCCCCCCTGGGCAGCCTGTTCCGGTGCTCTGTCACCCTCAGAGTAAAAAGTTTTTCCTCATGTTCAACTGAAACCTCTTATGTCTCAGTTTGTACCCATTGCCCCTTGTCTGTCGCTGGGAACCACTGCAGAGTCTGGCTCCGTCCTCATGACTTCCACCCTTAAGATATTTGTACGTATTGATGAGGTCCCCTCTCAGCCTTCTCTTCTTCAGGCTGAACAAGCCCAGCTCCCTCAGCCTTTCCTCATAGGTTTCTCCCCTTCCAGGGGCATCTGCATCTTTGCTCCATGCTGTGGTCCCCAGGAAGCATCAGGATACCCAGCCAGATCATCCAAAGTGATGGGTGATGAAAGGTGGCTGTAGGTGGCTGTTGCTAAGCTACAGGCTCTGTCTGCTCCGGCTGTCAGAGGGCTGGGAGAGCTGAAGGGCTGTGGTCAGACCTGGGGAGTAAGTGCTGCGGCAGGGCACGGCCGTGGGGTGTGTGTGGGGGTGACCTGTTCCTGGGTCAGGGAGTTTTGCAGAGCCGACTTGTTTACTCTCTGCTCCAGATAAAGCAGCAGGAGACAAGTCTGGTTCTCCTTTTTGGGAGAGAGGGGAGTCCATCCCCCTAAGAAACCCAAGGCCCATAACAGTTGGTTGCTTTATTTGTGCTTAGGTATCTTAGATAGGAGAGAGCAACTTGGTTCTTTGCATCCCACCCCGCATCCTCAGCGCTGTATCAGAACAAATAACCCCGAGCAGCAGTCGGGCTGGGGCACTGGCCCTGGGCTGGGCATCAGCCAGGAGGCAGGGGAGCAGCTCCGGGCGTGAACCTCTGCTCCAGGGACTTCCAAACTATGGTCCAGAGAAAATCAGAGCCAGCCAGCCCGGCTCTGCTGCCAGGGGAGCTCTTTTCAGGGGCTCAGTGGGACCTTAGCATCCACGGGGAAGAGCCTCGGGAGTCTGTCCCACGGGAGAAAAGGGAACGATGCAGCCCTGGAGCAGAGCAGTGCTCAGCCAGGCGTATGCCGCCTTTGGGCTTTTTTGGCAACTGCTCGTGCTACCCTACAGCCCTCTCTCCAGATGTGTGCGTGCAGGCGGTGTGTGCTGGGAGAGGCTGCAAGGGTGCAGATAAATCTTGCTTTGTTTTAAGGGCAGTTGTTAAACATCCCCAGTTACACCATGAAGGTGGAGATGCTCAGTGCAGAACGCACCTTATTCCACGCTGGGCGAGTGAGCAAGCCGCTGCCTTTGTTCCTTTTGGTTTGCCCTCTCTCTGTCCTCCTGCACTAATTAATCTCATCTGCATGCTTAGCGGCCGTTCTGGGAGACAAGAACCATGGGTTTCCAGCAAGAGCTCGTGCCTCTCCATCCTGGGCTGCTCTCTGGATCCCTTACGGCTCCAAGGTGCAGCCCCTGGGTCAGGGCTGGAGGGGTGAGTGCTGGCTTTTGCCTTTCCCAGCCCGGGGCTACTGGAGCGGGTGCTCCCCAGGGCTTGCAGGAGGGTGTACGCAGGGGTCAGGAGGAGTGAATTGGGTTGGCGAAGGAGGACAGAAGGAAAAGTTCCCCGGCAGGCAGGAAAACAGCCGGGGAAGTAAGCAGACGCCTTGCAGCCTCCTCAGTTTGAATGTCGCTTGGGGGCGGGGATGCTCAGGAAACAGGATAACAGACTCGAACCTCTCTTGCCTTCCCCCCCCACCCCCACACCCCTTGCCTTTTTTTCCACCCCCCTGTCTTTTGTTTTATTTTTAGGACTGTTCTCTGCAGGAGGCAGATCTGGAACTGCAGGACTAATGGAGACGCAATGAAAGGTACCGGTCGCTGCTGCTCTGTGCCGGGGGGGCGGCAGAGGGGACCGGTGGCTTTGGGGGCTGCCCGCCGCGGGACCTCGGCCCCAGGCCGCAGGGTCTCCTCGACCCTGGTGGAAGCTGGCGGGCAGGTGTTTGCCATCGGGGGCTGCGATGATAACGGCGTCCCCATGGACTGCTTCGAGGTCTACTCCCCTGAGGCTGACCAGTGGACCTCGCTGCCCCCCATGCCCACGGCCCGGGCAGGGGTGGCTGTGGCCGCCTTGGGCAAGCGGATCATGGTGATAGGAGGGGTCGGGGTGAATCAGATGCCGCTGAAGATAGTGGAGATGTACAACATAGATGAGGGCAAGTGGAAGAAGAGGAACTCGCTGAGAGAGGCAGCCATGGGCATCTCGGTGACGGCAAAAGGCAAGGAGGGTTCAATTCTTGCTGTGTCCTTCCAGGGCAGGGAGGGGATGCCTGCGGGGTGGTGGGATGGGGAGGGGTAGCATCGTCTGATGCATCAGGCACAAAAGCTTTCTGGGCGATGGCATGGGGTTACGTTGTTCTCCAAAACCTTTTCTGTGCTTCTAGAAGTTGAATCCCTTGTATTTGTCATGTTCCACCTGCTAAAGATGACTGTCCTGTAGGCAGCCGAAAGCAGATGAACCCAGGGTTTGCTCTGCATCATCAGCCCTGGAGCCACAAGGGCCATGGCTGTGCCGGTACCCGGGGGTATTTTGGACAGGGTCGAGCATCAGGGTCTGAAGTCAAACTTTTCCAGGTTCTTGTAGCAAATTCTGGTCCTTGTGTGCTGCAGACGCTGGAAAAATAGGAATGGGGCTGCTGGCTGAGCGTAGCCAGGCTGGGAGGACCTGGCTGAGCTGGGGAGCCAGAGGTGAAGGTCTCGGAGCCACAGAATAGCTTTGGTTCCAAGAGGCATCTCTGGTCCAAACGCAGAACCAGCCAGGAGAGAGTCAGCTTCACGGGCATGGGCTCAAATCATTGTAGAAGGACGGGAAGCGGCTGGCCTTACGGGGGGCTCCTGCGTAGCTCCCCTCCCCCCAAAAGCTTAACTGCTGCCTTAAGTGGGGCTTGTTAAATGCCCGTGAGGCTCTGCCTTATCAGCCCATCTCATTTTTTAGTTTCTAAGCAGAGATGTGGAGCATTGATTTCCTTTAGCGTGCTCTGCCATGCTTTGAAGAGCCTGGGGCTGGGAGCTGTGTTCCCAAGCAGCGTGCCTGAGGTCAGCCGGCTTCCCACCGTGCCTGGGATTATGAATCTAATCTCCAGGCAGCTTCTTTGAAAGCTGCTTGGTTTGTTTGCTTAAGTGGGTTTAAGAGCTACTGTCAAGGAATGTTTAAAAATAATGTTTACCATCTCGGAGATGATTTTTCTCTCTGAGTATAAGCTTGCCTGACTGATAGAGCAGGGTCAATTTGGTGCGAGAGGCCAGGAACAGAAATAGCTGCCCAAATCCTTGCAGCGTGCAGGCTGGTCTCTGCTTTTTCAGCTGCCTTCTAATGCTGCTTGCAAGGGCAAGGCTGCTGTCGCTGCTCTCTTGAATCTCGTCTGTGGAATGAAGTGCTTGTTGAAAGAGATAATGTGGGTGCTGCGCAGGAAGGATTTTGTTTTGGAGAGCCAGGTTTGCTGTTAGCCAGAGATGGATATAGCTGAGAGGGATCTGGTGAGGGACAAGTAGCCTCCGTGCCTTGTCTCAGCTCTGAGCCTTCTGGTCTGGGTTGTGGAGCTGCCATCCTGTGCCAGACCTCAGTGGGGCGAAGCAGGAGCTGAGCCCAGGAGCAGCAGCCCCCGGACGGGGGAGCGGGGCTGGGGGAAGAGCATCAGCGCTGCTGCGGGGCCCGGGAGCTCGGTGCATTCCCCTCTGCCCGGGGATGGGAGCTCGGGACGCGCACAGGGACTTGGGTAGGAGCGAACGCATCGCACGATGCCACGTGCATTTTTGCCGGGGGGTATTTCTGATGCTTTCCTACAATAATTTTGTGGGATTGTTTTGCTTCTTGGCCCTGTCCAGACTACAGAGTCTATGCAGCTGGTGGGATGGGATCTGACCTGCGGCCGCACAACTACCTGCAGCACTACGACATGCTCAAGGACATCTGGGTGTCACTGGCGGCCATGCCCACACCCAGGTACGCTGCCATGTCCTTCCTGCGAGGCAGCAAGATCTACGTGCTGGGTAAGAAGCAGCCCTGCCGCCGCCGCCTCCTCCTCCTCCTCCTTGGGCAGCAGCTCCTTTGATCTGAGCACTGAGAAACCTCCTCGGAAGCAGCTTTTGGGAACGCTCCTCTCCATCCCTGCCTGCTTTCTCATGCATTCAGAAATACCAATACTGCAGCTGTCAGTTTTGAGTGGCGCTGGTGTTGGGTTTGGATTCACAGCTCCGTAGCGAGCACCCGTGAGAGCCCCTGCACCCCTGAACACCCCGGGTCTTGCAGCAGCTCTGAGCCGGGCGAGTGGCCTCCCCTGTCCCAGGCCCACCCGTGGCTGCTGGCAGTCGAGGGTGCAGCTGGGCTTTGCCTGATCAATTTGCAGTCCTGGGTCTTCACCAAAAGCCCTTGGACCCAACTAGTGAGTAAAAATACTTCTATGCAATTTATAGATCAGCAAATTACCATGCAGCTTCATGACGGGTCTGCTCTTGGCAGAGGAAAGACCTGCTGTAGCTGGGAAATGCTGGACCAAGCCTTTTGCAGGGAATGATTTTCATTAGTTTTGCCTTACAGAAAGGGAAACTAAGGCAGAGAAATGCTGCTGTTAGTTTGTGGCCAAATGGCACATCGGGATCAAAAATCAGGAGGCCTGATTGCTCAAACCACCAGACGGCCCTGGCTCTCTTTAGGGGTTACCAGAAAAGGTTCTTTGATGTATTTTGTGGTTTGCTTGCTGCTGGCTAACAGTTTGTGGGCCCGGTAGCAAGCACAGGCTCTGCCTTCAAAGGCACGCTGAGCATCTGAGCTGAGAATAGCTGTATTCATCTGCATCTGATGGCTGGAAGAATAATATGCATCTCCGGCGCTGGTAGCTGCTCCGGCAGCTGCTCTGGCTCTGCTGCCCCATCAGGAGCTCGGCAGCGGGGCTGGGGCTTGCTAGATTGCACGGGCACCAAACTCATCTGAATTGCAAAGGCGCCCTGAGCCCTGCTCTGCTCTGAATTTGTCTTGATTAAACCAGTGCATACTAAATACCTTCCTGTGCCAGCGACCCACTGCTGCCGGCGTGGAGGGAAGCGGAGGGTGTGATGCATTGAAAAATGAAGTGTTTTCCTGTCATGAACCTGCAGTTGAAGGAGAGGGAGTGCAAGGGTGAGAAGTTACCTGGCTCAGCAGGCCCTCATCCAGGTGACTTGAGACCTGGGGACACCATATCAGCTGCCAGCTTGCTCTCAGCCTGTCCTAGGAGGCTCCTCTGGTTCCTGCTGCCGTTGGCTCGGTGCTGTCAGCCAAGCTGACCCTTTCCTTTCCATCTCCCCTGCCCCAGGTGGAAGGCAGTCCAAGTATGCTATCAACGCCTTCGAGGTCTTTGACACAGAGACCAGGTCATGGACCAAGTTCCCCAACATCCCCAACAAAAGGGCCTTCTCCAGCTTCGTGCCCACAGAAGACAAACTCTTCAGTCTCGGGGGCCTGCGGCAGGGACGACTCTACCGGCAGCCCAAGTTCATGAGGACCGTGGACGTGTTTGACATGGAACAAGGTGGGGGCTGTCCCAGCTCTGAACTTGCCAGAGGAGCAGGGTGGGTGGCACGCATACTTTTGGGGCTTTGCTGTCCTTGCAGAGCACAGAGCTCTCGTCTGCTGAGTCCTTGGATCGCTGGTGCCTTGAGCCCAGCCTAGAGGAAGACCCGCAGTTGAGGTTAACAAGTCAAGGCAGCAGGGGGGAAAACCACAGCCCCAAGGCAGCCGGGTTCAACAGCCCCCTCCTGACATAGTGGTGAGGAAGCTGACCCCCATGTCATGGGGCTTTATAACCCCACAGTGCAGCAGCAAAACTGCACTTCCACAAGCAAGTAGGAGATCAGGGAGGCAGATGGTTTCCCAGGAGTGGATGCTCCTGCAATGCCCGGTCTGTCCTGTCCCCTCCAGGTGGCTGGATGAAGATGGAGCGCTCCTTCTACCTGAAGAAAAGGCGAGCAGACTTTGTGGCTGGCTACCTGAAAGGCAGAGTCGTCGTGGCTGGGGGACTAGGTGGGGCACTGGGGATGGTGGTAACACTTTAAAAGCATATGTGAGTCGTGTGTTATCGTTACAGAGGGGAGAGATCCTGGCCCTGGATGGCCTCAGGGAGCTTGGAAAACAGACCCCGTAAGGGGATGGGGTCCAGAGTACAGGCTCTGTGCCAGAGCAGACAAGGGATGCTTGCCAGTGCTTCCCAGGTGACCCAGTGCCTTGCTTTCTGCTTCCAGGAAACCAGCCGACCGTCCTGGAGTCCGTGGAGGCCTTCCATCCCGAGAAGAACAAGTGGGAGAGCCTACCCCCCATGCCCACCCCGCGCTGTGCCTGCTCCAGCATCGTGGTCAGGAACTGCCTGCTGGCCGTTGGCGGGGTGAGCCAGGGCCTGAGCAGTGCCGTGGAGGCCCTGTGCCTCTCCGATTCCTAGCCAGCTCCTGCCCGGCAGAGGACCCTGCCCCTCGCTGCCTCCAGCAGTGGTGGTGGTGCTGGGCAGCTCCTGAGGCTGGGTGAGCATCACCCAAGCTGTCTGGGAGCCTGGCACCTAGGCTCTGCCTGCCGATAGCTAAACCCAGCCTTGCTCTGGAGCTGTGGCCGGCAGGAGCCTGCAGCCGGGGCTGCTGTCCCTCTCCCTCCTGGGTGCTGCCATTCCAGCCCCGTGGAGGGACGGAGCGCTTGGCCAGAGGTCCCCTCCAGCCAATTTCAGAGCTCTAGGGGGAAACCCAAATGAAGGAACTGCTCGTAGCACTGGTGTGTGCCGTGTCTCCTGCCAGCAGGAAGGACTCTGGGGATCAGGACACGGGCATCTCCCTGCTGCCATCCTGACCAAAGGTGATGGGTTCGGAGGTGTTAAGAGTATCCAGACAGGTCAGTGGTGTTTCAGGGAGAACCGATGTGATGTTGCCCTCTTCGAGCACCCTGGAATCTAATCTGCTTCCCTGCACAGATCCCCTTGGCTTGCAACAAGAGAAACTCCTAGCCTGTAGCCAGATCCAGGGGATCGTTCTTTCGCCTTCATAGCAAGGCTTTTCCTGCAAACCTGTAGCATCAGACTGTCACTTTGCCAGGAGCCGGAGCCAGGGGCTGCCAATGCTCCTGGGAGGGATGAATGCCCAAGTGACTGTTCTGGCTGGAGGGAAGACCTTAATTTTGGCACAGGACTAGCACAGATACTGCCTTTGCTGGGTTTCACGCAGAGATGGTCTCAACCTACAATATTCCAACACTGGTTTTAGCTCCTGTAATGAGTTAGGATCTTCTGTTCAGCCCTGGGAGAAAGGGGCAAAACGGAGCCCTGCCTCTGGTTCTGGAGTGCTGTCACCCCCAGGGCCGGGCAGTGGCTTTGGCCGTGGCTTTGTTGGCAGCAAAGCCAAGAAGAACCCCAGCCATCGGTGTCTCTTTGGTTTCCTTCTTCCCCGGGCAGTTTGCGTTGGGTTACACTTCCAGCTTTGTAGCGGTGGCACCATTAAAGGCTGCTCTTCAGGGCTGGGGCTGTATCATAGAATCCTAGAATGTTTTGGGTTGGAAGGGACCCCTAGAGGTCACCTAGTCCAACCCCCCCGCAGGAGCAGGG